GGCTCCCCCTTATTACTCTGTTGCAGATCTCGGAGGTGGTGGTAGGTCAATCCCTGAAAATGGATGAGTAGAGGTTGTGATTGTGATGCTTTATTTGACTGACGATCTTAACTGTCTCATCAAAAAAAGTGTATTCTTAATTCAAGAATTCTTCTTCAATTTTTGAAAACACATTCTTACTTTAACTTCTTTTTGATCCTTAAAACGACAAATTGGTTTCAAAAATTTAAGTACAGTTCTTGAATTGAGAACACATTTTGTTGGGTGCAATTTGCTACTGCCTAATTGCTTGAGAGAACGCCTCCTTTGTGTCTTCAGAATGTGTGTAAACGAATTATAGCTGCTAATGTGAAAATGACGACACCTTTCGTTTGTCGAACTCTTTCATTGCAGTCCTTTAAATTCTATGTGGAATAACATAAGTATTGGTGTGGCCGGTGTTAACGTACCGGGTGTGTGCCTTCGAATGCGCTAGTGTTGCGGGACTGATCAACTGATCACTCGCTAGGGCTGCAGGGGCAATGGGGCGAAAGGAGCAGGCAAACCTGCAGAACTGAAGCGCATTTAAAGATACACCTGGTACCCGGTTCATTAGGTTAGGGTTGGACGGTTCTTCTTGCCAGTGTTTCATAAGCGAGTCATAACCGTTCACATTGCAAGGTTTTATTTAGTTATGGTCAAATGGTATACTCAGCAAAACTCCTTATGATCTTAGAACCGACACACTTTTGTCGGGTAAATGCTGTCGTCTTAAAATTTTGCTCCTCTCATCTCTACCCGACCTTCTTCTCACTAAACGTGCCCAGTGTTTTAGTGGGCATCTCCCTCTCCCTCTCCCTCTCCCTCCCTCCCTCCTTCCGTCTATCTCCCTCCCTCCCACCCCTCTCCAGAAAAGGGGGCATCAGTGAAATTTATTCGAAAAGTTAACTCGGTGCGCATTGGAGAGACGATATGAGGTCACGTCCTAGAAGCTGAAGGGCTCCCCCTTATTACTCTGTTGCAGATCTCGGAGGTGGTGGTAGGTCAATCCCTGAAAATGGATGAGTAGAGGTTGTGATTGTGATGCTTTATTCGACTGACGATCTTAACTGTCTCATCAAAAAAAGTGTATTCTTAATTCAAGAATTCTTCTTCAATTTTTGAAAACACATTCTTACTTTTTGATCCTTAAAACGACAAATTGGTCTCAAAAATTTAAGTACAGTTCTTGAATTGAGAACACATTTTGTTGGGTGCAATTTGCTACTGCCTAGTTGCTTGAGAGAACGCCTCCTTTGTGTCTTCAGAATGTGTGTAAACGAAATGATTTTTAAATATTAGAAAAATAAATAACTGTTACAGCTCTATATGCTACTACCAAATGGCTTGTGGGGTGTTCATGATAATAATCGCTATCACATTGAATTAACATCCAAATTATAGCTGCTAATGTGAAAATGACGACACCTTTCGTTTGTCGAACTCTTTCATTGCAGTCCTTTGAATTCTTATAACCAATTTTCCGGCTTCTAAACTTTTAAGTATTAAACTTAATTGAAAATCTAATTTTTCAATTTTGTTTGTTAACAGATGAAGAAGAAGACGGGGGATCACCTTCATGTGGAGATTATATTATGCATTTCTTCACGTTTCCATTTAAATTTTTATTTGCCTTCGTTCCACCTACAGGTAAGACTATACTTTAAGTATCGTAGAATAAATTTGTTAATCTAGTTTACTCTCAACTTCTTTATTCTTTTTCTTGACACATTTTACTTTTGTGTTCCTTTGAAACCTAGCTGCTCTTTTTCATCCCCGTTAAGCGCAGTGTCTGGAGATGCATTGTAGCTGACCCAGTTCCGGCCTATAATTGCAGCACGCATTGCGAGTGATATATTTTTATGGGTCTCTCTATACTAGTTTGTTTCATGCCTTTCTAGCGAGCCTGTGCACGTAATAGTCGGTGCTGTCGCAGTCGCCGCAACTAACCTCCTCTTTCAGGACTCGTAAACCCACCAGTGGCGTCGACACCACGCTTTGCTCGTCGAGTTCACCGCGACTGAGTTGCCTGCCAGCTAGCACAACGTCGCTGCTGCGGACCCTGATCGCTTGTCTTCCGTTTCTGCCGATAAGAAAGAGATTCTTTTTCCCTGCCCTCGCTGACAGCGAGTCAGTGCAGAAAGCGCAGTGTCTGACACGGCCACCGCTACGCTGCCGCCGCCTTTGAACGGGGACGACTCCTATCTCTGTGCAATGAGGCGTGGGGAAGAGCGGCGGCCCAGGTCCGCCTCTTAGATTAATGGTGGATAAACCACCCTCTTACAATCCAGTGTGAAAAAGATAGAGAGGAAAGTGGGGAGGGGTAGGAATGACACCGTCCAAAAGAAATTATCACTCTATGAATTCTCTGTTAAATTGCGACTCCCGTCGTGCTTCGCAACTTGTACAGGATTCGGGGGCTTTGTTAGATTATGGTCTGATTTGTATACAATAAATTAATTCAAAGAAATCCTTTGCCAGCAGCAAAAAAATTGCAAAACGAAATTTTCCGTGCAGGCATTTAATAGTAACTGAAATATAAATAAATTAAGGTCGAAAACTCTAACACAAATAAATACTCTTTTGACTACTGATATTTGGCGAGTTCAACTGGCACAAGTGCAAGTTCTGCATGATGTACTTACGTACGATAAGCATTTTACTTTCCAGGATGACCTTAATTCACTCGGATAATCTAGGGAGCTAAGTGGCGCTGTTGTGCCGCTTAGATTAAATTGCATAGTACGCATGAAACAAGTTACCCCGATTCAGGAAGTAAGTAAATGTTTTGGAAATTCGTAGCCATAACTATGTGTCTTGAGTGTTCTAAAGAAATCCCAAGGATAACCCCACAAAACACAAATAACATTGTTGCCTACCACTCTGTCATTTCTATGTTTCTAGCCACCAGTATGAAATATGTGTTTTGGCTTTCCTGTGTTAGCTAATCGCAAAAAATGGGAAACCGTATGTTTGCTTTAGAACCGAATTTGTCATAACTGTGTGTTATTCATATCTCATTATATTGCAGCTTTCGATAACTATTACTGACACCTTTACTCATGAATGCATTTGGTTTTAATTTTGTGTGCTTAGACCAATACACAAACTGTTTATCATAAGATTTGTTTAAAAAATTGATATTGCTTAACAAAAGAATTTTAATCGGATAAGTTCGCGAAGGCCTACACTCTAATAGTGCTCCAAAATGAAAGTTTTTCTAGCCAATGACAGATATAGTGCCTGCAACGTGCTGGGTTAGAGATCGTTCAGCAAGTCCGTCTGCTTTTATCGGATTAATTCGGCCCAGGAGCTCGGCGCCTGCGAGGCCGAGGGTAGGCCAGCCCGCAGAACACGAATGCACTGAAGGCAGGATGTTGCCTACCTACCAGGCGCTATGAGAGCTTTCATAGGCTGAACTTGGCCTCCGAGGTGGCAGTTTCGTAACTGCGAATGGTAGGTGTACGTTTTGGATGGATGATCTCTAGGATATCTCACTGCCCGCTGGACGCCGAAGTGCTGGGCCCGGGCAAGGTAGAGCAATGAAAAAGCTGCGTTTAGCTAGGAGAACTTTCATTTTGGGGATGCCTGAAGTAATCTGTGCCCCATATACTTGACTTTTATGAATATTTTGGAACGTGCACTTGTTAAAATTTCATTAATTTGTGAAAATATAAATAAATTATGAACGTCCTTCCAGTCCTTCCAGTAATCGGCTATTCCAAAAGTATGTCCTCTTAGAGATTTATATCAGATTCAAATCGAAAACACTGTTCAGTCTGGTACATGAACGTGGGCGTTCTTTCAACTCGTAGAACCAACCTCTCAGTCTTTCTCAAACTCGCGGGTACACGCACTTTCTCAAACCGGACCAGCATAATTGGAATAGCCTTTTACTATTATACTCTGAACACTGAAAATGGGTTGGCGTCTTTTGACACCACAACATTGGCGTCTTATGACGCCAAATTCTGGCGTCTTATGACGCCAAATTTTGGCGTCCTACGACGCCATATTCTTAAAGACGCCGGATTTTGGTGTCATAAGACACCAAATTTTGGAGTCATAAGACGCCAAATTTTGGCGTTCTTTTGCTCGACGCCAATAATTGGCGTCTTATGACGCCAAAATTTGGCGTTCTATAGAGGACGCCAATATTTTGGCGTCATAAGACGCCAACCCATTTACAGTGAATTGTCGTACGCGATAATCTCTCGATGTGGCCTGCAAAAATAGAATTGTCGGTTGAGGTCGAGCTGTCGAATCTCCCTCACATAAAATTTCCGAAAGAGTCTTCTTGAATTTTAGTCATTACTGTCATCTTGATAGAGAGATCGTGGCGTCTACCCACACGCTGAAATCTAATGAACTTTATTCATAGCTTACTGGTTTCTGCCTCCATGGACGGCTTACGGCTTACGCATTTTTTGTAAAGTACACCAGTATCAACAAATTTGTTTATAATAGCGTATTGAAAAATTCTTACGCGCGTGCGTGTTGACAGAGATCTTAACACTAAATCCTTATGCATTGGGTTGTGCATGAACATGCAGAATTTTGTACAGCCATAGTATTATTCACAATTGTATGCATAACTATGTACGTACAGTTTGTGCACAATTTGTACATGAGTATGCATAAAATTTGTTCATACTTATGGCTGCATAAAATTCTGCATTCGTATGCACAATAAAATGCCTACGGGTTTAGTGTGTTCCAAGCTATGAACTTGAAAGGTCATAAGGTTTTAGTGTGCACCGCACCCCAATGTATATTAACTACTAATCAATCACCTACTAGCCATTTGCTCCTGAACAATGTCGTTGTGCTCGTTAGTATTCTGTGTGGCTAACTCGTGCCGCCCTTGTGCCTTGTGTGTAGCTTTTGATGTGTCCGGCTGATGTTCCCTGGTGACTAACGCCCCCTCCCCGTGACTTGGCCTGCAGACATGGCCGGCGGCTACGTCTGCTTCGTAGTGAGTATCGCGGGCATCGGCCTGCTCACAGCCATCATCGGCGACGTTGCGTCTCACTTCGGATGCACCGTCGGCTTCCCGGACGCCGTCACAGCCGTCACCTTTGTCGCCCTGGGGACCAGCGTGCCAGGTGAGTGTGACGGAACAGCAACTTATTACGATTTAGTATTATGCGGTCAGGTGGAGCCTAACCCAAATCTGGGCATTATAGTTTAATTTTGCGCCACTTACATGCTCTAACTCACACTACCTCCTGAATACACGTGGGTCATTAGGAAGTACTGCCATGCATGTACACACTCGGGTTTCCAGAGTACAAATTATCTGACCCACCACTTACTTACGGACAACAGATACCATCATGGTGCATGACAGGGTATAGGATTTTGTGTATAATGATGGAATTTGGGCGAGTGTGCGTGGGGGCAGCCCAGAGTTTCGGTAAAAGAGAGATAGAGAGTGAGAGAGAGCAGGCAGACCGGCAAGGCACAACCAGGAAGCGCCTTGTGAGGCCCGAATTGTCTGCTTCCGGGAGGAAATAGAGTCCGATTCCTGCCGCCCCACCCACTATCACCCTCGCCCGCCCCCATCACCTAGCCAGCCCCAAGTCACCCTTGCGACACTCCAGCTTGCCAACCAACCGCGGCCGGATAGATACCTCCATTCTGCCAATCCCCCCACGGATGGGGGACAGGTCCCTGTGGCCTTGCCAACAAAACGACGCTGCCGTTCCATAGAAGGTCCTATAATAGAATTTCGTTGGAAGGCAAACCGCCTCCCACCAAAGCAGAGCGATCCCCCATTTGGCATCGCTTGGTCTCCAGCCTCGTCACCATCGTGCCCGCCGGGTCCGATGGGAGTGGCCTTCAGGACAGGGAGGTAAGTGCAACCGTAGTCATCCGGAAACGTGTGGACCGTCAACCGCCCAGGTAAGTAAGCTTATCGTATACTAGTGCGTTTGTATGGCACGTGACAGGTAGCACGTAAACTGAGGCTTGTTCTTGTGTGTTGTTACTGTAGATCTACAATGCTGTGTAAAAAAAATTGTGAAAAAAATTCCATGGAAGAAGACGTACAATTACAATCAAAGATTGTAATGTGCAATCACTCCGTATCGACTTGAAATCAAATGACGCGCAAGAGTGGAAGTTATTTGGTGGGGGGGAGATTGTAACATCTATGACAATTTTTTATACGGCAAATGACAAAATACATAGAACATGTACGAACGCGTTTTTCACATTGATTGAGGAAAAGGATTGTTAGCTAACGAACCATTTTATATGTAAAGACGAACAAAATCTGACCCATTGCGAAGCCTCCAATTCCTTCGCGAACCTTTGAAGAAAATTTGTTCGCAAGATTGTAACAGTGCCGCTTCGCGAGCTCAGCCACGAACATAAACGCATTCACCCCCAAAGTGCAGGTTAAACCAGACTGGCCCACCGCCAAAGGATGCCTAAGCCTTCGTGTTTCTTAAATGAGATTGGTAAACCTCTGCTTCCAGTTTCACGAGTGCAGTATCAGCCAAGCCGCACCTCGTCCACAGGCACTGGGGGGCTTGGGCACACCGGACGCCAGCCGACGTGATGGGGCCTGATGATAGTGATAAATGGCGGACCAGTCGATTAGCTAATCGCGATGACTACCCCCTGCACTCCCCCTCGTCCCTGCT